ATTCACCTCTCATTCACTTTCTAACATTTACTGAGGAGCGAGTGGGAGAGCAGCTTAATGTCTTCTCATTGTGATCTTTGCTGCCTTCCCACCAACCTTTCTCATCCCAGAGTATCCATCACTGTGGTATCTGGGCAGAATGCAGACGTTTTTTAAAAAGCCCTGTGAAAACAAAGGATTCTCTGAGACATCACTGAAAGACTCTTGAGCATCCAAACAACTGACGATCAGTCATTTGTTTTTGAGCAGCAAATACATCCCAGTGTTGCTGTCATCCTAACTGTGAAACTAAATGAAAATTAAAAATGCATTCAAGTTTTATAGATGTAAAAGTCATCATTGTAAATTGCTTTTTCAATTTAAATGCTTGCCCTGCTGTTTCAAAGGAGACTAATAGGACTGAGTAAGACATGAAAGCTTTCCAAATGCCATTGATCACCTTTTAATTCTATCCAGTCACCTCCATGTACGATTGCAAAATAACACAGCATTTCAGTACTGCTGTGACAGCATTGGCCTTTGTGTGTGCATGTGTCAGGAGCGCACAATTATTGATTGTTTAAGAAATGTAGTGCATTAAAGTGTCAAAATGAGAATGTTCAGTCTTGTAAAATGATAGTCTGTTAGCCTCATTGAATTATTCTGCCCCTACATCTCTCTCAAGATGATGTTGGCGCAATTGAGTTTATTTAACCAATTTGTATCCTTCCCTTCCCAACCTCAGGGCAGCTAATTAAAGGTTTCCTACTTGGATTCTCTTCTTGATAACATCCCTTAGATTTAAGTGGCGGACCATGCCACTTTCAGGTTATTTGACAGACCAATGCTTATGTCCAGCAGGGACAGAAAGGGCAAAAAACTGAACCTTAACACTAAAATTCAGAACCTAACAAAGGTTAGTAAAATGTGAAAAAGAGGGCCAATATTAAAAACTAAATGTAGAAAATATATAGAAAAAGATACATGTATCTATTAATTACAAATTTTAAAAAATATATAAGGGCCCATTCACATCAGATATATAAATAACATGGCAATACACATGGGCTTAAAAACATGACCTGATGCGTTTCATGTTTTTAAGCCAATGTGTATTGCCATGTTATTTATATATGATCCAAGGATCCTGGAGGTTGGGGGTTTTTTGGCATCTTCTGGGCATGAAGCAAGAGTCACTGGGGGTCGGGGTGAAGTATTTGTGAATTCACTGCATAGTGCAGGCGGTTGGACTAGATGACCCTGGAGGCCCCTTCCAACTCTATGATTCTATGAGGTGAAGCATGAGGAGGGACTTCAATGGGGTACAATGCCATAGAGTCCAGCTTCCAATACGGCCAATTTCTCCTGGTGAACTGATCTCTGGAGTTCAGTTGTAATCCCAGGAGATCTCCAGCCACCACCTGCAGCTTGGCAGTCCTAGTGTGGAGGGATAGGTTTTTCTGTATATTGAAGCAGGAGATGCTGTCAGCTTCCAAATCAGATTAAAGCCAGAACTCTTCCAACCTCTCTCCTCCTAAACCAGTTAAAGTTCAACTATGTTTGTTGTAAGCACAACACTGAGATACCATCAAGTACAAAAATGCCACTGTACCATTAGCTTAATTGAGCAAACAAACTATTCCTGCTTCACCATAAAATACTGGGCCATAATATTAAATTCTGTAATCAGATGAAATTGGTAAACTCTCCATGTTATGTCATGCTATTATCGCTCTTTTCTGGGATATGAACGGGATGGAGCATATTACTCTGACTGCAGTTATGGCTTCCGTGGAAATACTGGGGCAGATCCAGCCATCCTTCTAGGAACGATTTTCCAGCTAAGGAGCTTTCCTCTTTGTCAGCTCTCTCCACCTCATGCATAATTTTCTATCATGTCCCCCCACAGTTAAGAACATAAGAGACGCCAGTGTTGGATCAGGCCAAAGGCCCATCCAGTCCAACACCTTGTGTCACACAGTGGCCAGAAATACCAGGAGCCATCAGGAGGTACACCAGTGGGGCCAGGACATTAAAGTTGTCTCTTTTCTAAACTGAAAAGTTCCTTACTCTTCAGCCTTTTCTCATAGGGAGGGTGCTCCAGTCCCCTAATCATCTTGGTTGCCTGTTAGCCTGATTGAGTTATTATCAATATTGGGGAATATACGATATTATAAAGTAGCAATAGGCAATAAGGGAACAAACACCTGTATATATAGAGGTTCCGCCTCTTCCAGAGATACCAGAAATAGACATGGAGGCTGGCTTCAGTATAAAAATGGTTTCCTTTTACTGGAGATTCTTCACAATCAAACAATGCACAAGCACACATGCACTTATACAGCTTCTAGGAAAATTAGATAGAGAATCAAGAGACGTTCGCATGAACGGGAGATCGTTGGGGGGCAATATTTACCTGTCCTGATGAGATGATGCATCCCAGTGGAAAAATAGGGGAGACTAATAAGAAATTAGAATTATGCTAGGAAATGGAAATCATGCTCTGAACCGGCAGAAGCACGTGGAAGACTCTGGCTGCAGTCCAAGAGTCTTAAGAGAGGCAGCATGGGTTTCAGGATAGCAAGAGCTAAAAGGCTGAAGAGCTAGAAAGGACGTATAGAGGGGGCGTAGAGAGCGTCTAGAAAGAGTGAGCACGTTGCTGGGTGCCCACTTTTGTATGGGGGGGCTCTGGGGGGAGGGCTTTGCTGGCCCCCTCCCTTTTTTTTTCTTTCCAAAGTTTATTTAAAGTTTTTTCAGTATACATTATATCTACGAGTTACATTTATCATACTTGTGAGTCACTCATAATTCTCATTATCTAGCCATACATAGAATCTTTTCCATCTTTTTTCAAAAATTTCTTTACTATTGCCTTTCAATATCAAACTTAATTTGTCCATTTCAACCACAGATAACATTTTGTCAACTACTTCTTTTCTAGAGGGTAGATCTTCTTGTTTCCATTTACTGGCTAATAACAATCTAGCTGTCGTAAGCAAATGCTGGCCCCCTCCCTTGATACCACCCCTTGGTGGTCCGTTCCAAAAGTCACGTCCACAATGCGTAAAGGAGCTTAAGGGGTTGGTCAATGTTGAATTCTAACTCAACTTGTGACAGAGAGACCTCGAGGGTCGTGATCAATGCTTCCTCTAAGCTGTGGGCTCTGGTGAGCAAAAATTCTACTTTGTGCTCCTGGCAATAAAGTTGTGAGCGAGCAATTTGGATACTCCAGTTTGCTCTGGAGCTGTCCTTCCTGAGCGAAGACAAAAATGCGTGAGCTGGAGGCTAAAAAACTGTGAGTTAGCTCACACTAGCTCAGCTTAGAGGGAACACTGGTCGTGATGACTCATCGGCTAGCACCAATTGTGTTCTTTGTCTCAGGGCTGCGGAACTGGTTCCTGGAGTGGATGAGGAAGGCCAGGTCCTTTGTCAAGTGGGAAAGAGTCTTTTGTGCCTTCCATGCAGAGAAGGGGGGGCTGCCAGCATGATGAAGAGGGACTTCTTTAATGGTGTCGGGAGTCCTTAGTAAACAGCAATGGTAGATGGCTGTTTTGGAGTGTTTCATGTGTCTAGGGATACATCTGGAACGGGGCAACCTCGGGAACCACAGGCATATCGTCTCAGGCTCTTGATGGTGCATGTCTGGTATCATAATCTGGTCACCTTACATCAGAATCCCTTTTGCACATTTTATACACAGTCCATTTATGTCCATAAGAGCACACAAAGCTCCTTGCTGGGCAACATGCCCTCCTCTGTACTTTTCCCAGCTTTTGGTTTTATAATTAATTCTGGGAGGAAGTTTGGATGTTACATAAGGTTATTTTAGTGAGTAAGCCACCTCACACTGTCAAAGAGGCAGAGTTTAGAAATGGTCTAAGTAAATAAATGAAATATTTTGATTAGCTTATTCAGTATTGAATAACTTTACATCTATATTGTATTGCTCTTCTGGCACCGAAGCCTCTGATGAGGGGGGGTCTATAAGTATTCCAACTGCTCAGTGAACAAACTGCCTGAATGCTTGCCATTCACTTTCTGTGAGGGAAGGAAAACTGTCCATATGGTTAGGATTTAAACCTACAACAAGTGCAAGGAACTAGAACAGTTTTTTTGAGACAAGCCTGGGGACTAGGAGGAGGTTGGCCGTCTAGAGGTTGAAAGAACGGTGCACAGCTAATTAATCATTGAGAAAAAAGAGCCTAAGGAAGTCATTTAGGGGGGCTTGAGGGTGAAAATGGAGGAGACACAAAACGGAGGGAAGGTGCTAATGATGATCTGAAGAACTCTCACCGTACTTAAAGTGAGAAAGGAGTACAAACTGTTGTGAGGTAAGGTCAGGGAGCACTACATACTATGGGAAGGAAGATGGAAGCACTAGGGAAGCTGGTCGATAGAGAAGGCAGCGAAGGAAACTGGACAAAGTACATGGTGAGTGGAAAGCAGTCTAAGGAAACACCGACAGAGATAAGGAACTGAAAAAAGAAGAACGTACTGTGGTCTGTTGGAAGTAGACAGGCAAGGAAGGTTTGGGGGAGCGTAGGTCAAGGAATCAAGCAAGGCCTAGAATTTAGTCTTGAATAGTATCATTGTGCTTTCAAGGACTGCCTAGAAAAGGAATGTAGCCAGTCCTGGACTGTGATTTGGAGGGCTGTGCGGGCCAAGAAAAAGGGAGGAAAACTGAATTTCGCACGTTGAACTAATTAGCAAATTTTTGGCCATGTGTCTTGTAAATTTCTTATTGATCGTGATGCATCAGATGGCAGCAGTCATATTAGCCACCTGGATGAGCAGTGGTAATTTTGTCAGAGTGATTTACATTGATGTAAAACTCTAAAATGAAACAGTTAATTAGGTAACTTCAACTTCTTTGCATTTTGCAGACATAAATTTATCCGGGGGTTCTGTAGATGAATGTATAAAATGTTCATTAGCGGTTGAACTTCTCAGAATGCTCTTTGTGGAAGGGAAAAGCTGTGTCTGTACCAGTGCCTGTTCTAACTTCTTTTTCTCTGAACCAGATTTTCATCACTGTGAACTGCCTGAGCACAGACTTCTCTTCTCAAAAAGGAGTGAAGGGGCTTCCTCTGATGATCCAGATTGACTCGTACAGCTACAACAACCGCAGCAACAAGCCCATCCACCGTGCCTTCTGCCAAATCAAAGTTTTCTGTGACAAGGTGATGATGGTCACTTATTTGCTAAGTACTAATAAGCTTGTGTGGTGGTGTCCATACCAATCAAATTGAAACCAGAATGTCCTGGGCTCAGGCTTAAAAAGGACATGAAATAGAGGGGCAAAGGGAGTGGGAAGAAAAAAAGGATTTCAGGAAAAGTCAAAGAGGACCAGTGGGTGTTGAGCACCCTTTAAACGGTCAACAGCAGGAGCCAGCAACTTTTCTCAGTTACAGAGCCAGACTACGTCAACATTTCATTTTCTTTTCGAAAGAGCCATTCTTGGTTCCTTACCTTGCCACATTTGGCTTTGGAGCCACAGGTTGCTGGTTTATTAAGTTTAAGTGGAAGGCTGCTGTCCAGATATCAGGGAACGATGAATCCTGACAGGAAGTTTCAGTTAATGGGGGAGGGGGAGAGGGGAGATCAAGGATTTGAAGAGTGACTGCTTCCTGAGGACCAAAAGAAGGAAGATGGAGAGGACTGCTACACAAGAAAAGAAAGAGAGGGACAAGAGAAGAGAGGGAGTAGCTTTTGGTAATGGTGATGGTGCTTTACACTTCCATGTTTGGTAAAATGTTGTGACAGGAATTTCAGGAATCATGGGAAAAGAGAGAGGCATTGCTCTTTGTATATGAGATCTACTTCCATGTAATTCATAACTGTGGAGGTCCAGGTTACCAGAAGGGCTCTGCTGAGGATCATGTGGTATGGGGGATGGAATAGTTAGGTGAGATTGTGTGAAAAAGCTGGCTGGATCCAACCCATCATTTCCAACCAGTCTAGGAACACAATTTCACAGTGTTCTGTCTCCCAGGCTGGTGACATTGTAGAAGTTCTTGAAGGACAGCTTTCACTTGAAGGGCTGCTGTGTTTTTACAAGTGAAACATTTCTGAACGTTTTGTGGTACGTTGGCCAGTTTTTGTGCTGTTAGTTATGCATGAGGGTCTTACTCCCAGTGGTTAAAACCAAACACAAAAATGATGCAGTATCTTTTAAAATAGCACAAGCCACGTAATGGGGTTATTTTATTGTGTATATTTCCTGTAACATTTCTTTGGAGACAGGCGAACATGCATTTAAAATATCATGTAGAATTTAAATTGTGTTTTATGTATTTTAAGACATCTGATATTTCCATTACGTCAAAGAAATGTGCCAATGCATCTCTCTCTTTTGTGTTACCGAAAGGTGGCTGACATTTTGAAGCTCAGCTTTGGAATAGCTCTGATTGGAACTTGCAGAGATGGGAACTAGCAGAGGCCACACAGTACCATCAGATGCCACCTCTGCCTCCCAGTCATCCCTTTTATGGTGCTCATAAGAAAAGGAAATGATCATCTTCTGGTTGCTATGCAACCATGAGCTCATGAGATGCCGTAGTGGGGACCAGGGTCAAATGGGAGAGCAGCAGAAGAGAAAGATTAGAGAATCTTAGAACTTTCCCCCTTGAACTCCCCACTTCTTTTCTAGAGCATCCCTTTGCTTAGAGGCAACTAGCTAAATTAAGAAATTACCAAGAGAAATACCAGCTGTGGTTAACAACACATTAACCCCCCCCCCCGATATTTCCCACTTCACATCTAGGGTGTCCCTTGTGTGTGGGTCAGCCACACAGATTAGGAAGCTGTGTAGACAAAAAAGCTATCTGTGATCAGGAACCCATTTTTAAAATAAAAATGTTGCAAGTCATGAACCTTGAGTGCTATAATGGTAACTTTTAGGTCAAATATTTGCAGAGATCTGAAGATACTGGAACCTTTTAAAAGCTCTGTAAATATCAAAGGAATGAGTACATGCGGCTTGTTTTTCCCCCTGTTTGCCAGTTTTTGAAAAAGTAATGAGTGGAGGGGGGGATCTTAAGGGTGAC